GGACGGAAAGCCCAGGTTCGATTCCGGTCAAGGGCATGTACCTGGGTTGCGGGCACATTCCCATTAGGAGGTGTGCAGGATGCAGCTGGTCGATGTTTCTCTCTCATCGATGTTTCCAACTCTCTATCTCTCTCCCTTCCTCTCTGTAAAAAATCAATAAAACATATTTTTTTAAAAAAAAGCTAAACAGAATTATGATATAATCCAATGATTCCACTCCTGAGCATATACCCCAAAAATCTGAAAGTAAGAATTCCAACAGGTCCTTGAATGCCACCGTCTGTTGCAGCATTATTCACAATAGCTATGCGGTGGAAAGCAACCAAGTGTCCATCAAGACATGAATGCGCCGAAACCGGTTTGGCTCAGTGGATAGAGCGTCGGCCTGCAGACTCAAGGGTCCCAGGTTCGATTCTGGTCAAGGGCATGTACCTTGGTTGTGGGCACATACCCAGTAGGGAGTGTGCAGGAGGCAGCTGATCGGTGTTTCTCTCTCATAGATGTTTCTAACTCTATCCCTCTCCATTCCTGTCTGTAAAAAATCAATAATATATATATTTTTTAAAAGACATGAATGCATAGGCAAAATGCAGTCTATAGATGCAAATGGAATATCATTCAGCCATAAAAAAGGAAGGAGGTTCTAGTACATGCTACCATGTGGATGGACCTTGAGAGCCTTACGCTCAGTGAAATAAACCAGTCACAAAGGGACAGCTATTACACGGTTCCACTTATGTGAGAGCTACAACAGACAAATCCATCGAGACAGAAAGTAGATCTGCGGTTACCAGGGGCCAGGAAGAGAAGGGAACGGGGCATTATTGCTTAATGGATAGAGTTTCTGTTTGGCGTAATGAAACAGTTTTAGAAACAGCAGTGATGGTTGCACAACACCGAAAATTCAAGGGATGCCACTGAACTGTATGCTTAAAAATGGTCGGTTGAAACAGTAAATTAGATATACACACATACACAGCATGCACGGGCTCCCGCATGCTGAATTCTCGAAGGAACAATCATGACCGCAGGCCCACGGCCACAGAGTTTTAGGGGAATGGCTGAGGCTGGAGGGCCTGGGGGGCAGAAGCCCGGGGACTTTCTCTCATAAGATCAATACCGTGCGGGTTTCCGTGGTGGTTTCTATCACCACTTTATCCTCTTCAACTCCAAGCACTGAGCGACCCAGGCCGGCTCTTGGAGGGTGGGATGAATGGAGCAGGATGTAACAGGGCCCAAGACATGGTCGTTTTTGAGACATCCATGCCGTGGCATGTTGCAGTGGCTCTTGACTTTCCGTCACTGAGCTGGGGACCATCGTGTGGATAAATGACATCGCACGGTACTCTGCTGGTGAACCGCGAAGCTCTTTCCAGCGTGGGCTGCAATGAACATTCTTATTCATATCTTTTTGTCAACCTGTTTTCAGTTCTCTGGGATGCATGGGCGTGTAGATATTTAACTTCGTAAGAAACTGCCTGACCTTTTCCCACCCGTTTGTAGCATTTTACACTCCCCCCGGCACCGTGTGAGTTCCGGTTGTTCCGCAGCTTTGCCGCCGTTTGGTGGTGTCAGTCTTTTGAGTTTTAGCCGTCTGGTGGGTGCGTCGTGGTGTCTCATCAGGGTTTTAATTTGCATTTTCTTTTGATTAATGGTGTTCCGTTGCTTATTGTCCATCTGTATCTTCCCTTGTGAAATGTTGGTTCAAATATCTCGCCTAGTTTGTTTATTGGGTTATTCATCTTTTTTATTGTTCAACTTAACAACCAGATTGGAGGTTGCCAGAAGTAGTCATCCTCGATTCTGGTGGGACCAGAAGTCGTGGGGGAAGACGTGGACTGTGGTTGACAGGGGCACGCCAACGCTTCCTTCATGATACGGCTGCACCCACGCTCTCCCTCTGTGCATTTGGGGGTGAGTGAAGACGGGCTTCGCTGAGACACAGCAGGAAACGCCTTCTCAGGAAAGCTCAGAAATGGGTGATGGGTGAGGTGGATGATCTGGTCAGAGGACCAAATGCTGAAAACCAGAAGGCGGCGGCCTGGAGACCCCTCCCGTGAATTTGGAAACCTTTCTCACTGGCCTGACAGCGACACTCTAGAGTCTCCTGGGGTTTGGCTCTGCTGAGGAGAGCAACAGAAGAAAGTGGAAATGCGTAAGAAACCAGCTTTTGAAAGTTACTGGACAGTAAATCCGCTCTCCCTTTTTTTCTTGTCTTGGGGAGTGTACTGATGTTTGAGTCACTTGCTGAGTTATTCTGAAAGGACCACAAAAGGAGCTGGATCCGAGCAGCCTCTATCTTTGGTGCCTGCAGGCCGTCAGGACTTCTCCAGAATCCTCCAACAATTGTTGGTTTTTCATGATTTTCTGTAACGTAAAGCCCTAGAGTTTAAAAATGAAACAGTAAATAAGAGTGATGGAAACTGTGTCCACAGAAAAACCTCCACATGCGTATTTAGAGCAGCTTTATTCACCACGGCTACAAAGTGGAAGCACCCAAGATGTCCTTCCATAGGTGACTGGGTAAACAAACTGTGTGACACACCCAGACAGTGGGCTATGACTCAGTATTCAAGAGAAATGAACTCCTGAGCCACGGAAAGATACGGAGGAAGCTTTGATACCTGTTACTACGTGAAGAAAGTCAGCTCCGACAGGAGGGAATTTCTCATTTGTTCATTGCTGTATCCCTAGCATCTAAAACAGTGTCTGGGCCTACAGACCCTCAAAACATGATGGGAAACAGAGGTCCTTCCTCTCACCCTGAGTCACAAGAAAGGAGAAAGACACAAGGGTAGCCTTGGATAACCAGCTGAGACTGGGTTCCCAACTCAGTGTCTTTCCAAACAGGGACCACCAACCAACATTCTTATTCCCAGACCATGTGCCAGACGTGGTTGGTCAGGATAAGGGCTAATCTGCATTTTTATTTTTATTAAATACTAGAGGCCTTGTGCACAAAATTCTTGAAGGGGAAGGGGGTCCCTCAGCCCGGCCTGCACCCTCTCCAACCTGGGACCCCTTGGGGGATGTCCGACTGCCGGTTTAGGCCCACAGGTATTGGGCCTAAACTGGCAGTCGGACATCCCTCTCAGAATCCAGGACCACTGGCTCCTAACCACTCACCTGCCTATCTGCCTGATTGCCCCTAACCACTCTGCCTCGACTCCACCACCGGGGCTTTGTCCAGAAGGACGCCTGGAAGTCCAGAAGACTTCCAGTCTATCAGTCTAATCAGCATATTACCCTTTTATTAGTATAGATACTTTCATAGATTTCAGAGAGGAAGGGAGGGGGAGAGAGAGATAGAAACATCAATGATGGGAGAGAATCATCTATCGGCTGCCTCCTGCACGCCCCCTACTGGGGATAGAGCCTGCAACCTGGGCATGTGCCTTGACCAGGGATCAAACCATGACCTCCTGGTTCATAGGTTGACGCTCAACGACTGAGCCACGCCAGTGGGGCCTAATCTGCATCTGAGAACCCTTGCAGTGCTTACTAAAAACATACCTGTGGAGGTACCGAGGCAGCAAGGCATGGACACCCTGTAGTTCAACCCTTTATCTTTACAGATGGAGAGGCTGCAGCCCAGAGAAACAGTGTCTCACCAGAGAGCCACAGCAAGTCACCTCCTGGCTCTTGAGCCTCTGCCGGGTGGCATGGCTGACCACCCACTCAGGCAGCAAGAGCGTCTCCTGCCTCTGCTGGAAAAGATCATCCCCTTGGGCAGCTGACGAAAGCCAACTCTGTTTGTCCAGGCCACGAGGTATTTACTCCCCCGAGGAGCGAGGAGGTGGGGGAAGTCCAAAGGAGCTTTTAATAGGCCTGTTTAGGGTAAATGTTGATGAGGTCACAGGAGGATTCACTTCCCTAACCTGACAGGAACCGTTATTTTCCTGTTTCTCTTTTCACATGATATGATTTGCTTAGAATATTTAACTTGAAATGAAATGACCAGATTTCAAATATGCAAAAACTAGAACCAGGTGTGAGCCCAGGAAAACTGGCACCTGCCATTGCTCTCCGCTCAGCTCGGCCACCAATTTGCCATCTGACCATGGGGACCTTGGACGCATCGCCTGGTCGCTCTGGGCCCTGGCCCCTGGCCACGAGTCTTCCCAGCTCTGATGGCCTGTGGTCCTCTGAGTCTAACTCACTCTACAATCAGCCTGCAGCCCGAAGCCCTGCTGGCTCTTCTGTGGGCTTGTTCTGGGCCAGGAGGACAAAACAGACCCAACGATTTCTATAGCCGAAGAGAGAGGTTAGTGGTCAGCCCACAAAACTAATGGGAAATAGAGATGGAGCACAGAGCCTGGGGAAATAAGGCCATCTTCGAGCAGAGAGACAGCAGAAATGACCCAGAACAAAGGGGGCCCTGAAGGGCACTGTGGGGACACTTTTCAGGAAATTAAATTTTGGTACCAGGTTCTGCTCACTGTGGACCACCTTTCCTTTTTTTTTTTTTAATTATTGATAGTTATGCTGAGGGAAAGAAGCGAGGTATAAAGGACATCATGTATAATTCCATTTATATAAAATTCTATAAAATGCAAACTAACCCATCATGACTGAGAGCAGATCAGAGATTGCCTGGAGAAGGGGGAGGGAGAAGAGAGGGCAAGAGGGAGGGATTGCACAGGGGCATGAGGACTCTTTGGGAGCATGGATGTGTGCTCACTATGTAGCGGGGATGTGCACCACATGTCAAAACATACAATTGCTCTCTGAATGCATGTAGTCAACTGTATGTCTGTTATATCTCAGTGAACCTGTTTTAAAAACTGTAATGAGCCAAGAACATCTTGTCAGACCAGAAAGCAAGCAAACTAGTCATTTTGTTAAAAGGATTCATGTGCCAACATGAATAGGACCCACTGGCCAAAGATGGGGAAATGGGAGCAACAATTAGGATAACTGTAGTGGATTGAAAAAGAATAAATAGCCCCGGAAATAAATATCCACTGGTTTGACTCAGTGGATAGAGTGTCGGCCTGCGGACTGAAGAGTCTGGTTTCAATTCTGGTCAAGGGCACATGCCCAAGTTGCGGGCTCAATCCCCAATAGGGGACATGCAGGAGGCAGCCGATCAATGATTCTCTCTCCTCATTGATGTTTCTATCTCTCTTTCCCCCTCCCTCCCTGTCTGAAATCAATTTGTAAAATATATTTTATTGATTTTTTTACAGAGAGGGAGGGAGAGGGAGAGGGATAGAGACTTAGAAACATCGATGAGAGAGAAACATTGGTTCAGCTGCCTCCTGCACACTCCCTACCAGGGATGTGCCCTCAACCAAGGTATAAGCCCTTGACCAGAATTGAACCTGGGGCCCTTCAGTCCGCAGGCCAACGCTCTATCCACTGAACCAAACCAGTTAGAGCTGAAGTCAAATTTTTTTTAAAAAGGTATAAATCCATGTGTGTTCATAATGATAATATTAATAAACCTCATTGATCAATATCCTTTGGACATACTAGGGACCCAATTATTTTTAAATTGCTAAAGGTAAAGAATTACGCACCTAGCATGTCTTTCTTATATGAAGTGTACTTCCTGTAATCAGTTAGCCCCATGGTTGGCAAACTGCAGCTCGCGAGCCACATGAGGCTCTTTGGCCCCTTGAGTGTGGCTCTTCCACAAAATACCACGTGCGGGCACGCGTACAGTGCGATTGAAACTCCGTGGCCCATGCGCAGAAGTCAGTTTTCGGTCTGGGTGAGTCTATTTTGAAGAAGTACTGTTGATACTTGGCTCTGTTGACTAATGAGTCTTCCGACCACTGAGTTAGCCAATGAAGGGAATGTTCCTCTTCATAGGTACTTCAGCTAATAAAGCTAAAATGGTGTCATCATTTCCAACCCTTTACCAAGGCCATGGTCACCAATGGCTGAAAACATCACAAAATGAGAAACATGCAGGTATGATTCTCCTCATGGGAGCACACAATACCACAAAAGTAGTCTTGTTGCCCTGACCGGTTTGGCTCAGCGGATAGAGCGTCAGCCTGCGGACTCAAGGGTCCCAGGTTCGATTCCGGTCAAGGGCATGTACCTTGGTTGCGGGCACATCCTCAGTGGGGAGTGTGCAGGAGGCAGCTGATGGATGTTCCTCTCTCATCGATGTTTCTAACTCTCTATCCCTCCCTTCCTCTCTGTAAAAAAATCAATAAAATATTAAAAAAAAGTAGTCTTGTACAAAAAGTCAGACCGATCTGACTAGACCTTTTAGATGTAACCACCAATATGCAGAGAAAATGGGAGGGCAAGGGAAGATGTTAAAACAACGCCATGGGGCCCTAGCCGGTTTGGCTCAGTGGACAGAGCGTCAGCCTGCAGACTGAAGGTCCCAGGTTTGATTCTGATCAAGGTCATATAACTCGGTTGCAGGCTTGATCCCCATCGCTGGTCGGGGTGTGTGCAGGAGGCAACCAACTGATGTGTCAGATGAAAATGAAAGAAATTGAAAGTGAAAAAGAAAGAGAAAATGTAGATTTAAAAAGACTTAAGTTGCAATGTATGGTCTGGATCTCAATTCAAACTTTTTTAAAAAATGACATTTATAGGCCAATCAAGAAAATTTAAACACTGTTTTGATATTAGGAAATTGATATTTTTGGGGGGTGATAGATTGGTGGATGTTTGCCTTTTAAAGATACATTCTGAAATGCTTACCGGTGAAATAATAGGATGTCTAGTATTTACTTCAAAATAACGTTGGAGGGTGGGGGTGAGGTAGGTCCAGGTACAGAGGAAACAAGACTGACCATGAGTTGGTTAGTTGTTGAGTAATGACTATATGATGGTTCATTAGGCTATTTTCTCTACTTTTGTACCTGTATGAAATGTTTTATATTGTGCAATAACATGTTTTCAAATTGTGCGTGAAAATCATTGCACTAATGGGAAAAGTGCAATTTTAAAATCAGGAAGAAATACTGTCTTGCAAAACGCTGACGTTACTTGCCTGAGAGCGGTAGGATGAGTCATTTCCCTCTTCGTTTCTACATCTTCTGTAATGTGTCTACATAGTTTTATAATGAGAAATACTCGTAGTAAACCCTAGGGGGAAACAAAACCTCTATTTTTGCCGTCCTCTTCCCGGTCTTAAAAACCCACCCGTTCTCTCCTGCTTTTCCTTCAGGTTTTTGCTTAGCTTCCCGCCATCTGTTCAGCGCTCCCCAACTTCCCACCCGCCCGCAGGCTGATTGAGCTACCACGATGCTTAGCAGGCGACTTGGTTGGGGTGGCGGGGGGACCTGACTTCGGAACCCGCTTCCTTCCGATGCTTGAGTAACACCCGCGCATGCGCGCTCTGCAGGACTACACCTCCCAGGAGGCTCTGCGCCTCGCAGGGGAAAAAGCCTTGGTAGCGAAGGACTACATTACCCAGTGACATCTTGTGGGCGGTGTTGCCGGATGACCACTGTCCAAACATTGGCCCAAAGTCTGTCGGAAGCTGCGCGGTGATTGGCCCAGGCGCCCGTCAGTTACTGCCGGGCGCAGTTGACTTTTGCTGTTAAGCCTGCGTGAGGAAGGAGGGAGAGCAGAGCTAGTACAGCCGGGCGGCGCCCTCCGAGCGGAGTGAGTGACCTCTACTTCCGCGCGTCTCACCGCCCGTTCGGACACCTGCACCGTCGCTCCCCGGAGGGAGCACACATGCGCAGGTATTCACGCGGGGGCGGGGACTGTACGCACGTGTGTCATGCCCGACCTGAGAAGCCTCTTCAGGGATGCGGAAGGCAAAACCCCACGCACACCCGGGGCACCTGTACACGCGGGTGCCCACCTCGTGGGCATCGTCTCGGACTCAGGGAGCAAAAGCACTCCCGAGGAACACCTGTGTCTACACGCGGGTGCATCTGCAGAGAGCCCACACCCAGACACCCGCGTCTACACGCGGGTGCACCTGCAGAGAGCCCACACCCAGACACCCGCGTCTACACGCGGGTGCACCTGCAGAGAGCCCACACCCAGACACCCGCGTCTACACGCGGGTGCACCTGCAGAGAGCCCACACCCAGACACCCGCGTCTACACGCGGGTGCACCTGCAGAGAGCCCACACCCAGACACCCGCGTCTACACGCGGGTGCATCCGCAGAGAGCCTTAGCTGAACACATGGGCAGACCTCCCAGCTGCAGACCCAGACACCCGCAGCTTCCGCAGTAAGAGAAGGGGGCGGCTAAGGCACACACACACACCCCCACCCGCCCTGCCACTCACACCAGAGGCCTCCCATCTTCTGGGTGCTGTGTTGTATATACCAAACATATAATCACATTTCATTTTTATTTTGTCTCTTTAAATTATTGGTACAAGAAGGAAATTTTGAAAAAGAAAAAGTAAGGCCACCACAGGACTATCTTTAAAGCCCTTTCAGGTTTATGAGACTTTAACCACTTTGACAAAGCTTATCACGTGTGGCAGCAGCCTGGGCTAGGCAGGGCGGGCGTCATTCCCACTTTCCAGAAGGGAAAACTGAGCGCAGGTTAAATAAACCTGCCCAGGCCCCTGGGAGAGGCTGAGATCTAAGGTGAGGTCCAGCTATGCAGAGCTGCTGAGTTAGAGAAATACCGCCTTTCCCCCACAGCCTGGGACCGAGCCGTCCCTGGGAGCGGGAGAGGCTCTCCCTCGGGCTCCTGCCCTGCTTAACCTGCTCCTCACAGGGGCCTGGGGAGAAACAGCTCGAGTTAATGTTACGGAGAAGTGGATGGGAAAGGCCAGGTGTCCTCCTTTGAGGGAATCAGAAAAGGTACCAAGAAATGGGCACATTCCTGGCAGGGCATGGGGGTTTCACATCATTGACGTTTTAATAAAATGTCATCTTAGGATACTGTGCTAATGGAGCTCCGTGGAAATCTCGTGCTGGTTTTGAGAGTGGATTGGAGCATTCTCTCTCCCTTCCTTCCCCTTCCTCTCTCTAAAAATCAATTTTTTAGATAGAGAGTTAGAAACATCGATGAGAGAGATACATCGATCAGCTGCCTCCTGCACACTCCCAACTGGGGGTGTGCCCGCAACCCAGGAACATGCCCTCGACCGGAATCGAACCTGGGACCTTTCAGTCCGCAGGCCGACGCTCTATCCACTGAGCCAAACCGGTTTCGGCTAAAAATCAATTTTTTAAAAAAGAAAAGAATCGGTGGGGCGAAGGTTGTCGCGGTGTGGTCACTGGCTTTTCTATTATTAAAGTATTCAAGACCTAGATTAATTCTGAGTTCCCTTCTAAAGTCATTTTATATTTAGTTTTAGTTGGAATTGGAGGTGGGGGCATAACAAAGACAAACTATGTAGGAGTGTATTCAGAAAAAGGAGAAATCTACCTTCCTTCTTCCCTTGCCAACCCTTCCCCCAAAGGTAACCTTACCAGCCCATGGGGGGTGTTGTCACAGACTTTTCTCCTATGCTGAACAAAGTGTATTTAGGTCTTGCTGTTTTTCTTTTGCAAAGATGGGGTTATACTACACATACTGTTCTGAAACCTGCTTTTTCTTTCACGTTTCAATCTATCATGGACATCTTTTCCGTGTGTGTAGCACTGGCTCATTCTTTTTAATGGCTGTATATGCCATCACATGGGTGTGACTCAGTGTATTTGTCCACCTCTCCATTGATAAGCATTTGTGTCAGACCTAGTTTTACAAACGGTGATGCAATGCATGCCATTGTACACCCGTGCTAGTGTGTAAAACCCCTCTCCAACAACGGTTCTCAGCCAGGGACAGTTTGGTTCACATCAACTGGAATTGCCAATCGATGCTCATACGTCTAAAATCTGAGCAGGGCAGAAGTCCAGACCTATGATGGCATTCTCTCTGTTCCGTGCTGCGTGCGAGGCAGGCGCTGTTTCAGATGGCTGGTCAGGGAGGGCTGCTCTGAGGGGTGATGTGTGAGCACAGACCCTGAGAACCTGATCTGATGTCTCCTCCTGTTTTCTGCATTTAGCTTGAAGCTGATGGACATTGTATGGGCCGGAGGCAGGGATGGTCGGCTATGACCCCAAAGCAGATGACAGGAGTATCTCCAAATTGGAGGTGGCAGTGTCCGGGTCTGTGTCTGGGCTTGTCACTCGGGCGCTGATCAGCCCCTTGGACGTCATCAAGATCCGTTTCCAGGTACCCTTTCCCCCTTTTCCCACGTGGACGGACTGGAGGTCAGGGTCACTCTTTCGTGCCAAAGCAGTTCCTAAAAGCTTGGAATTTTGTCGAGAACGTTGCCTTCGTGGCCTTTCCTGAAATTTCGCCTTCTCCTCTAGCCCCGCCCCTCCTGTCCTGACCTTTGCATTTTCGTTCCAGCTTCAGATTGAGCGCCTGTCTCACAGGGACCCCAACGCGAAGTACCATGGGATCCTGCAGGCCGGGAGGCAGATCCTGCGGGAGGAGGGCCCGACCGCCTTCTGGAAGGGACACATTCCAGCCCAGCTTCTCTCCATCGGCTATGGAGCCGTCCAAGTAGGTGCGGGGAGCCGCCGGGCCCCTGGGGCCGGGTTGCTCAACGGAGCAGCACAAGGACGAGGGGTCGGGCAGCAGGCAGCGGTCAGCATACTTCTCACGTGTCCAACGGGGAACCTACCTGACAGATGGGCTGAGTCTGACTGAGCTGTACCATAGGCCTTCCCTTCCCCGCGCCCCCCACCCCAGAGACTGGGCACCCACTGAATATCAGGGAGGCTCTCTTGACCTCACGCTCCCAATGGGACTTGGCAAATGGTGACACAATGCTTCTCACTTTCCAAAATCGCATTTCCACCTCTGTGCTTCCCTGAACTTCCCAACAGCCTTGTGAGGAAGGTGAGAGCAAGCGAGGTGTGGTCGGAGAGGCGACGTGAGCTGCAAGCGGTGGGGCTTCGTTCATCCTCAGCCGAGTGCTGGTTTGTCTCAGAGCGTGTGGCACGTGGTGCAGACCCCCTGTCCAGTGCTCACGGTGGGCCAGGCCCTGTTTTAACCATTTCACCTCTGTTCCCTCACAGCAGTACTTTGAGATAGGTGCTGTTGTCATCCCTGTTTTACAGACAAGAAGACTGAGGCAGAGAGAGCGTAAATAGTTAACCCAACCAGAGTCAGCAGCTAGGAAGTAGCCCTAACTGGTTTGGCTCAGTGGATAGAGCGTCGGCCCATGGACTGAAGGGTCCGGGTTCAATTCCGGTCGAGGGCATGGACCTTGGTTGCAGGCTCCATCCCCAGTAGGGGGTGTGCGGGAGGCAGCTGCTGGATATTTCTTTCTCATTGATGTTTCTAACTCTCTATCCCTCTCTCTTCCTCTCCGTAAAAATCAATAAAAATGTATTTCAAAAATAGTTTTAGAAAGTGGAAGAGCCAGGATTCCCCCCTGGAGAGCTAGCACTAGAGTAGTCCCTACCTGCCCTTTCTACAACATCCCATCTGCGCATTTCAGGGCTGTCCCATGGGCGCACCTGCCGCAGGTGCTGCAGCGTGGGAGTCAGTACAGCCACCTGTCTAGGACCCCGAGCCGCCTCGAACCGGCTGGAGGGAGATCCAAGCGTCCGCGGGTAACACCGTGGAACATGGAGTAAGCGGAGGTCTCCCATCAGAATCCTTGCTCCGGGCGGAATGCTGCTCAGTGTCACTGCCGCCGGCTGCACTGGAGGCGTCCCTGCCAAGGGTCATCGATGGCCACCTTTTCTCAGGTTTCAGGAAACGAAGTTAATGAGTAGAATTTTTAAAAATGTATCTTTATTATTGATTTCAGAGAGGAAGGGCGAGGGCGAGAGATGGAAACATCAATGATGATGAGAGAATCATTGATCGGCTGCCTCCTGTACACCCTCCCCCACTGGGGATCGAGCCCTCAATCAGGGCATGTGCCCTGACCTAGAAATGACTGCGATCTCCTGGTTCATAGGTCAACGCTCAACCACTGAGCCACGCCAGCTGGGCTAGAATTTTCTGATATAAAAGTTTTATATTTTCTTAACCTTTTTGAGTACTTGGCTCTACTCCAATAGAATCTAAAAATGGCATCTGAGCTGCACAAAATTATGTCTGTTGTATTGTCACTGCTCAGGACGACTCTTTCCTTGTCCCTAGGACTGGGCCCCACCTGGGTCATGGGTCAGAGGCGGTCTGTTTGGGTGCCTGTCAGTGACCTTCTCCTGCGCTCTTGCAGTTTTTGTCGTTTGAAATGCTGACCGAGCTGGTGCACAGAGCCGGCGTGCACAGTGCCCGCGACTTCTCCGTGCACTTCGTGTGCGGCGGCCT